CAGTTATGCTTTATTTTGTATCTGAATTCCTGTATCTGAAGTCCTTAGACGATCAAAATATATGGTTTCTAGTGTCGCTGACTCTCAGTGACGCGCTGACTCTCAGTGACGCGCTGACTCTCAGTGATGCGCTGACTCTCAGTGATGCGCTGACTCGTGTGTCTGGTCAGTTTTGCTGGGATTTCACCCACTGCACGTTAGGTTTGTGAGAGTCAGAGCGCGTCTGAGGCACCCTCGCTCACCGCTGGCCCGGGAGTGCTGGCAGGAGGCATGGCGGCGGGTCCGTGTGCCCAGTAATGACAGGTCACAGCGTTTTCAGGCAGCACGAGGAAACCTGGATTTCCCAGTCAGGCTATCGCGAGCAGGGGCGGCCTGGTCGTACACCTTGGATAGAAGGCTTCCCAGGCTGTTTGAATTCCCTGATGAGCCCCATCGGACTGAGTTGGTCCAGGTCTTGACCCTTTGGTATGTGTTTGCCCTCTTCTCGGTCATTTTTCATCGTGAGCCCCAGCTGGCGGAACCAGAGGGTGGAAAGCCGGGACACGTGGTAGTTGCCATGAACTATTTGAAAGGTATGAGAAAGATTAGACTTTATCAAACAGTCTCGGGGATAAAGCCAGGAGATTACCAGGAAACAGATTCTGGTTTGATATCAGAGGGAAACTTCTAGAAGCTGCAGTCCTTGGAGGCTTGGCGTGGGCTACTTGGGACCTCTGAGTCCCTGGCCGGACCCAGGAGGGATGTCCACTGGACAACGGAATGTTATGCTGGGGTGTCACACACTGAACTAATAGGTGAATTATATCATCTTTAAAAATGTTATATCATTTGTTTTTAATTACGACCTTCTCCTGGGTTAGCCTAGCACCCCCACCTTCCCGCAGGCCTGCGACTGCGCACTTCCTTGCCCTGGCTGTCGGAGGGAGGAAGCCTGCTGCTGGGTGGAGAGTGAGGAGCAAGGGGGTGAGGGCGAGAGGGGAGCAGACGTCCTCCATCCGAGGGAGGCAGATCCCTGAGCACAGACGAACCCAGCAGAGCGGTGTGAGGCTGGGACAAGGCCGCCGCCTCACGGTGCAGATGGGAGCCGGCGCCAGGCCGCCCGGTGCAGATCCTGGCTCCGGCTGGGGCCGCCTCGGGGACAGTGGGCAAGTTACTCAGTCTCTCTGAGCCTCAGCATCCCCCCTTTATAAAATGTGAATGGTGCTGTTGACATCCATTATTGTTGGGGATTAAATGTAAATGTTTATGAGACGCGATAGGGAACCCCCGATGTGTGAGCTGTTTTACGATCGGGCAAGTTTGCGAAGCTTTATTCAGGAGCCTCACAGTTCAGACAGAGTAGGATAGAAGCCTTATGAAGACAGATGTTCTCTTTCTTTTTTTATTTTGTGCCTCCTCACTGGAGAATATTGTTTTCATTAATCTTTAGATAGAGCAGAAGGGAGGGGGTGAGGAGAGAGAGAGAGAAACATCAATGTGAGAGAGACACACAGCCCCACATAACCCTGACAGGGGCTGGGGATCGAACCTGCAGCCCAGGTACGTGTCCTTGATCGGGAATCAAATTCGTGGTGAAGGGGAACAGACGTCCTCCGCTGAGCCCAACAGGCCGGGGCGAGGTGTTCTCATGTTATAGGTAGAAAAGGAGAGACTTAGGGCAACAACAGAGACTCGTGGTACCGAGCTGGGGCAGGGGGGAGTGGAAGTAGTGGCCATGGAGGCAGTTTCAGAACCAGACAGAAGGGAAGCCTTACCCTTGGGTTCCCGAGCCCAGTGTCCGCTCGAAGCCAGTGCGAGAAAATGGGCCGGGAGAGGGCGGAGGAGAGGGAGTTCAAGGTTCCTCGTGGAAGCATGGTGGGAGGAAAGAAATTAAGCAACTTAACAGATGTGCTTTGAGCTTTTGTTTTGGGTGCCAAGTTATTTAAGCACTGGTCTTGGCCAAGGGTTTGGCCGACTTAATCAGACGTTTTCTATTTAAAAGATTGTTTTCTATTTGTAACATCGTACTTCGCATCTAACACACACTCGCTCTAGATTCAGTAAATTCTGGTTAGAAAGTTAAGTGGGGGCTTGCTCGGGGGTGTGGGTGGAGGTGAGGGCCACCCAGGAGCGGGCACAGTCCTGGGGTGAGGCCCTGTGGGGGTGCTGAGGTGTGCGTCACTTCTTGCCCTGGGAAGGTTTGGGGAGGTATAAGTCTGTCCGGTGGCTTTCCTGGATGGTCACATGGGCCAGGAGCGAGTGGGTACAAGGTACTGCCCTCTCTCTGGACCCTCAGATGCGGGGGGTACTTGGAAACCAAGGCTACATTAGTGCTGGAAGTATCTGGGGAGCCAGCGACCCTTCGGAAATCCCGGAGGCCCACAGCCAGCCTGTTTGGTGGGAAGCAATAGAAAAGTGGCTGACCCTTCCTGTGGACACGTCCTCGCTCCACTCCTCATGGGGGGCGGTTCTCTGTCCACTCACCCTCAGCAGAGGAGACACCCCTTGTTTCTGTCCATGGGAAGACAGCACAGACCCTGGCCTTGGGGGGCTCTGGGGAGGATTCAGCCAGGTGTCCCTTTACTTACTAGCTACCAACTTGGGCAAGCCACTGACTGGACCCCAGTTAGCCGACCCCTCCCTGTGCAGATGGGATTGTGCGTGGATTCTGTGACAGTGTCCAAGCTGCTTTGTAAAACTAATTGCTATTCAAATGGTAGTGCTATTATTTTACACACAGGTTCACCATTGTCAGTACGCCCAGACATCATGCTAGGGAGGCCAAGCTCTCTGCAGGGTGTCCCCCACACCCCTCGTGGGTCTCAGAGTGGAAAAGCACGGACCAGCTGTGAATATGACCTTCTGAGGAGCAGCCCCTCTAAGGACAGCCTTGTCCTGACGGTCCAGGTGGTCTCTCACCGGCCTGGCTGCTCTGGCTCTGGGCTCTCAGAGGCCAGAATCCCACTGCGTTCTCATGGCACCGTCTCCCAGGAGACAGATCCTGTCAAGGAGGCTTAACTGCCCCTAGGGTGGCGATTGCCAGGCTGAGCAGGTCACCCAGCCTCATGCCCTCTCGGCCTAGGCCTGGTCTGGTGGGAACAGAGTAGGGGATGAGGCCAAGAGGTTGGCTCCCTGCCTTCTCCCTGGGTGCTCGCCTTTCCCCGGCTCCTCCCCCAGCAGGGCCCCGTCCAGGCCGTCCTTCCCACCAGGTCGGTTTACTGAGGTCACCTCCCAGCTGGCCTCCTGTGAGAGTCTCCCCTCCCCCCACTCCATCCCACATGTGGCCAGAGACATTTCCCCTGACCTGCTTCATGCAGGCCCCGCTGCGTTCCGGCGTTTTCTGACACTGTTGCTCTCTCTGCAGTCCACTCTGCCCCCCCATTCCTGAGCTGCCATTCTTGGAACAGACTTTCCTCCTCCAGGCCTTCCTGCCTTTTATCTGGATTTTCACTACACACATATTTCCCCTCCCCATCTCCTCCTAAGCAAAGTAAAATTCCTGCTCAGCCTTCAAGCTCTGACTCATTTGCCGCTTCTTCCAGGAAGCCCTTCCCATTCCCCTGAGGCTGCGTGTCCGTCTGCAGCACCGCAGCCCCCGAGAGCATGGCCTCCAGCTCTGCCTCTCCCTGCACAGTACAGAGCACTGGGGGCTCGCAGCTGATTAGAGAATTGCAATGAATTAAAGTGGGAATGAGTTAGCAGGAGGCGGTCAGGACCCCATGGTGCTTCCCCGGAAAGGGGGGTCAGGTCACCCTGCGGTGACGTTCCCAAAACAGGTGACAGCTCTCGGGCTGTGACATTGCACAGCACAGGCCTGGGAGTTTCACATCCCACCCCGAGTTCCCTCTGTGTAGCAACAGTATCACAGGACATTAATAAAATCAATTATTGGATAAAAATCACTGGTTTCTAAAGCTTCATTTTGTCCTATTAGCAGGAGAATGCTGTTTCTAAAGGAGATAACGCGAGAGAGAGGGGGATAGAGAGAGAGAGAGAGATCAATTACCAGATTAGGCCGAGAGGCGCCTGGGGAAAATGTGCACACTGGCAAGTGGCCCCCTTACCTGCCACGTGTGGGCCAAGCGCCTGCGCTGTGGTCTGTGGGCCTGCCTGGGCCTTCCTGTCAGTCCCCCAAGTGAAGAAGGGCGTCCTGGCCAGTGATGGGATGGGCGGTACCCAGGCAGCTGTGGACACTTGCTTAGCAAGTAGGCTCAGTAACACACGAGTGAGCATCTCCCCCACGGTGGGCTCCGCCACCGTCCATCTGGGCGACCTCAGACAAGCCAGTCACCTTTGCGAAACCTTCATTCCCGACTCAGTGCAGAGGGTTTGGGGAGGACGAAATGAGATCATGGACGGGGAAACCACCTTCTACCTTCTACAGTGCTGTCTCCCAGAGGGAACCGGCTATTACTTGCTCCCCATCGATGCTTCTTAACACTAATCAGATTCCTGGGTTGGAAGGAGAAAGGAACTCATAGGTGACTGTCCAGTGGCAGCACACCATTTTAGATGGAGCGCCTCCTTCTCCTCCCTGCCCGCGGACGGGAATGGCGGTCATTGTGTGCCCACTCAGCCCCTGCGTCGGCAATTTCAGTCACGTGTTCTCAAATGACCCTGGAGAGGTGGCCCCTGGAGCCGGGATTCTGAGGTCCACTTCCTAGTTGTGGGATGCTGAGCGAGGTACTTGCCGGTGAGGCTGTCTCCCTGTCTGCATAATGGGAACGTGAGCATGTCTGTCTCGGAACCACCGTGAGAAATCCACAAGAGCACGCGAGGACAGTCCCCGCATGGCGCCTGGGGGGCCGTGCTCAGTAAACGGTAGCTGCCGTTCTGGCGGCTCTGTTGATTGTTATCGCTGATGGTTTTATCAACGTCCCACCTCTGGCCCCATCTGTGGGCTAAACCTTTCCAGAACAAGCCTGGTCTCCGCTCTGGGCTCTGACAGACGGACAGACGGACAGACGGGCTGGTGGAGGGCTGGGAGCTGTTCTCACAGATTTCCCATTCATGTCACACAGATTTTGGATGCTGACTGGGATGACCTGTGGGACCAGTTTGATGAGCGGCGGTATCTGAATGCCAAAAGGTGGCGCGTGGGTGACGATCCCTATAAGCTGTACGCTTTCAACCAGCGGGAGAGCGAGCGGATCTCCAGCAATCGGGCCATCCCGGACACTCGCCACCTGAGGTACTCCTTCGGTCACCTCCCCTCCCTGTCGTCGGGACACGCCAGCGGCAGGCTCGCTCGGTGCAGCGCCCAGTGCCAGGTGCTGGCGCAGGCAAACCATTTGTTGCCAGTTGGTTGCTAGAGGGTTTAGGATGTGGCCCTTCACCACTGTCTGTGCTGCTGGCTGTTGTGAGCCGCCCCATGGAGAGGGTCGGAGGCTTCTTCCACCGGCAGCAGGGACTGGAAGTCCCTGCAACCAGAGACCCAGGGGGTGGACTCGACCTAGAACACCCCTGCTGCTGGCCTGAACGCTTCTGAAAGTCAGGCTTACATTATTCCTCTTAACACCCCCACGCCCTGATCCTGGTCCTTGGTGTTTGCTAAATTTTATTTAAATATTAGGCTATTTGATTCCCCTGAGCAGAGATTACATATAGGGTAACAGGGAAGAGGGAGGGGGCAGACCGCTGAGAAGCCCCACGGGGTCTCAGCCTGGTAGTGCCTCTCTGATCCAGATGCCGAGCCCTCCAGAGGGACAAAGAGACACCTCCCGGCCAAGAGAGGAGCTGGTGCCTCTGGGTGAAGCGTTGGGGCCGTGCCCCTGAATGCTCTCACCTGCATGCGTGCAGCAGGGAAGCTTTGGGAATTCCCTGAGCAGGCAGGTACAGAGGGATACCCCGAGCAGGACGAATGTCTGTGTTCACCCTGTTCTAGGATCTGAGAGGCAGAAATGAAAGAACTTTACAAAGACTGATGTCTGTGGGGGTTGTGGATGAAGAACCGAGCCTGTCCCCAAAGTTCCTCTGGTCCAGTCCTGGGCTCGGCAGCTAACCCAGTGAGTTCCATCTGTTCAGTAAGTGTGATCTGCTGGGACTGCAGCAAGAAGGGAAGAGAGGACTGAGATGAAAACCAGGCACCCTTTGGGAGGACAGAAAAGGAAAAGCGTACCAGCCACGTGTCTGCCTGAGGGGATTAACCTTGTCCTGTGGGAGCTGGGATTGCGTTACTCAAAGCATTTCCGATTCATGGATCCTAATCTTAAGGATCAGGAAGGGGAGAGGACAGGGATTGGGAATGAGGGCAAGCACATGGGACTAGACAGTCATGGCTGGGGTACTGAGCACCCACTGTGTGCGAAGCCCCAGGCGAGCACTGTGAGAGGCTACCAGTTGGATCAACCATCTCCAGGCCGAGTTTGGAGACAAACCTGTGCCCACATCGCTCTTGTGTTGGGAGTTCCAGAGACTGCCAGCAAAGCCTGGCATTCTTCCCTCAAATAGGCTGCACTGCAGGGTGACCTGTCTGTAGGTCTCCCACCTCCAACCCTTGCCTCCCGGGGAACCTGTGTTCGCGAGGTTGACGTCACCAGCGAAATCCCTTAATCCGGCTGTGATCCAGCCTCCCTGGTGTATACTGACGTCATCCTGTGGGCATGCCTGGGGCTTGCCTGTCTGGTCTGACAGAGCCCGGGGCCCTGCTTGGGCCTGCCTGCCCCAGCTCTGGTCAGCAGTGGCTGCTGGTGACCTACACCTGGACACTAGGGATTCTCAACAGAGACTGACATTTTGGGCTGGATAGTACTTTTTTTGTGGGGCTCCTGTGCATTGTAGGAACACCTCTGGCCTCTACCCACTAGATACCAATAGCAACCCCAAGTTGTCAAAACCAAAAAAAAATGTCTCTAGACATGGTCAAGTGTCCCCTGGGGACAAAATGAGAACCACTGCTATAAAGCCGGCCCCGCTTGTTACCCGAGTTCTTGAGAATGGAATGTAAGCACCCGCTATCAGCCCCAGCCAAGGACGAGCCATATCTTCCCTGAAAGGCAGAATCAAGCAGCAGGCAGGACGGCCCAGGGTTAAGGATGCAGACTTGGGGTCGAGATCACTCTGTTTCCAGGCCTGGCTGTGTCAGGACTTCGCCGCGTGAACTCACCATTGCCTGGCTCCTCTGGATGGCAATTGCCTCTTGAAAAAGGAGGATAAAAATAACAATAATGATACCTACCTAATGCGATTTCTGAAAGGATCTAATAAAATATATGTAAATTACTTGCCTACTCCATAGTAAATAGTCAAAACATTTCCATTGTGGTCACTGTTACAGGGTAACAATGTGAGCGGCCGACACTGCAGGGATGGAAGGGGAGGCCCAGGCAAGTGAGCAGTCAAAGCCCAGGTCTCAGGAAGGGGCACGGGGAAGATCACTAAGTTGTCAGGAGTGGGGGTGGGGCAGGGAGGGGCAGAAGAGGGTTTCAAGGTTAAGCTCAGTGTTAGAGAAAAGGGAGTGGTGGGCTCAAACCCGTACATATGGGCGTGGAGTGTAGACATGAGCCTGGATCTCAGCAGTTCTCAGTCCAGGCCTCCTAGAAGAACCACATGGGGAGCTTTGTAAAAGTGCTGATACCCAGACTCCAACCAGCTCAAGTCTCGCTTGTCTAAGCTCCCCAGGTGATTTTAATGAACTGTCAGGCTTAAGAACCCCTGCTCCAAGTGAGTGTTTCTCAAACTTAAATAGGCCAACTAACAAATCATGTGAGGGTCTTGTTAACCTCTGATTCAGCAGATCTGGGGTAGGACCTGTGGTCTGCATTTCTAACAGGTCCCCAGCAACTGATGCCACCAGTCCATGGATCACACTGAAAAGCAAGAGCTTAGAACAATAGTTATCGAAGTTGGTTCCACAATCTAGCAGACCAACAGCAACTGGCATCATTTGGGAGCTAGTTAGAAATGCAGATTCGTAAGCTTCAGCCCAGAACTTCCAAATCAGAAACCCCGGGGTGCACACTAGCAACCTGTGTCTTGACAAGCACCAGAGGTTATTCTGATGCCCCCGTTCAAGTTTGAAAAGCACAGGGCATCAGCTTACACTCGCACTTGCTTTTGTGGATCAGACGAGCTCTGTGGGTGGGTTGGTCCAGCTGAAAGACTCGGGGTTTGAATAGAAAGTAAAGGCCTTGGAATAAGGCCACCCACCTGCCTACACGCTGCAGCACCCTCCCTCTGTCCAGGCGACAGCACTTCTGTCCCAGGCCCTGTGATCCCTTTGGCTTCTCTGGCTCCTTCCTTCTCCTCCCCCTTCTCCCAGTTCCTTCAACAGTCGACATCACTTTTACCAAGAAGGTCCTGCTGTAGGGCCACTTCTGGACTGGGGTCTGTTGGCCCACACTGGATTCCTGATTCCTTTGTGGACCCCAACCCCCCTGATACAGGCTTCCCTCCACTTTTGTATTCCCATCATGCCTTGCAGCTGAGGCTCTACTATTTATGACACCGACTGCCCTCTGGGGGAAGTGATCTTTGATAACGTCTTCAGAGCCGGGTGTGTGATAGGAATTCAATAAATGTTGTTGAAACAAAAATGAAAGGGAGAGTAAGACTGGAAAGACAGTTGATGTCTCCCTCCCATCTGCCTTCTGCGCAAGGAGGAGAAGAGGCGCTAGAAGAAGCCCCTTCCCCTTCCCCTCCCATCCTCAAGGCCTTCAGAGGAGGGATCTGGGGAGCAGACTCACTTAAAGAAAAAGGCTTTTCCCCTTAAAGAGTTCTCATTACTGCAGAGAGAAGAGTGAAGACACAGCCTGTGGGAGGGGTCTGAGCTTATTAAATTTTCTCACCACAGTAATTGGGTTCGGATTTATAGGATGCGTTTGGACAGCGCCTGAACAGAGACCTATTAGCTGAGCATTAGCACAGAGCTGCGGAGAAGGCGGGCGCGGGGCGAACAGCCTGGAATCCAAGGAGGCAGCAGGTGGGGGAGGACGGGGAAGGTGGGCGCTGTGCACGTTCTCACCCGGCAGCGCTGTGCTGCTTGCAAAGCCCAGTGCGCCGGCCGTGGGAACCCCTGACGAGCGGGTCGTGGTGTGGCGTCCTGTGGTAGGAGAAGCCCCAGGGAGGCCCACGGCCTAATTTTCTTGTGTGGAATAGGACGGAGTAGCCACTTTTCTCCTGGGCCTTTGCCCCCAGAGCCCACGATGTTTGGGAGGCAGCCGGTTTGCCTGGAGCATGGCACAGCTGAGGGAGGAGGAGGAGGAGGTGAGACGGGCAGGCTTTCAAGCCCACTTTGCCAGGGTTTATGGGGTACCCAGGGTGGGCAGGGAGTGGCGCCCGGACCCGGGATGGTTTGGAAAGTGTCCACAGTTTCCAATGGGTCCCCTGTTCAGTCACCCTTTGGGGTTAAGAACGTCCCCTCCCCCACCCCACCCCTTCCATAATGTTTGACATTTCCACATTCTTGAGATTGAAACCTGGTGCCATGGGCCTTTAGACATGTGTTTGGTGTGGCCCATCCCTGCTCCTCTCTTGACGTTGTTTTCTCATCTGTAGTTGGATTTGAAGCTTGATCATTCAGCTACGTTGCCGCACAAGTGTAGGTCTATTCACCCTCCTGTGGTTGGTCTTCCCCACCATGTTTACACATCTGTACACTCTGCTCTCCCACCCTGCCTCAGTGGGCGCAAAGCACTGCACCCCCTTCAGGGCGTCCTAGCCCTAACCCCCCGAGGCCCATGATTCCGTTGACACTGATAAAGGCGTTAACTTTGTGACACTGCCTGGGTCCTGTAGGGCCACCTGTATCAGGGGTGGGGTGGTATGCCATATATAATTTACAGGCTGAGGAGGAGGCAGCATCCAGCTGGGGTGAGTCAGAGACTTCCCAGGGGAGTTCTGCTGTCTGTACGTCATTGACCGGCCCAACACACAGTCTCTGTTTTCCAGTTGTCCTGCCCCACATCCTGGTGACAACAGCCGGCTCTGCCATCATCCAATAGCACATAAAACATCTGACAGTCAAGGGGCCCTTAAATGGGAGCATACCTCTAGAAGGGAGGAAATATTTTGATGAAGCACATGTATATTTTTGCTGTCAGCCAGCAATATTTATTACAGGGTTGCTTTGATGGCAGGGGAGCAGGTAGGGTGACTGGGCCCAGGAGCCATGGGAGGACGGAGTTGGAGCTGGGAAGCCCCACCAGGTCACCTCCCTGGCCCGGCTGCTGGGATCGTTCCCCTCAGCATGAT